TTTGGTTGTTTGGGAGGGGGGGTTGTTGGGATGCAGGAAGTGGGACGTTGTTCTTGCGTTTGATACAGTCAGCATGGTAGTCGATGTATAGGTCAGTGTCTCCTTGGTCCTGGCATGTTTTGAGCTCCGAGAAGAGCTCACAGGCATGGTCACGTTGCAGTATGGACAGGTTGGGCCATGAACGAAGTTTCTTATGGTTAGTACAGCTTTTGGCGAGTGAGTTTACTGTGGAGAGGAATTTGCGTTTGCTGGTCTCACTTTTGCAAATGACTCTGCTGAAGCGTGGGGCCAAGCCGTCATTGTTCTTGAACTCAAGACCGTCATGGAAAACGTTGATGATTTCATCAGGAGAGATGATTGATGCCTGAAAGTTGCTGATGATGTTGCAAACCTTTGTGATGTCATCAGATTCATTGGTGTCCTCAAGTCCAAATAAGATAGCGTTGGGACGCTTCTGTTCGCGTTCAATTGCATCTTTGACGAGGATGGAGATGTTACTCACAGGGTTGGCGGTTTCCGGTGGTTGTTGGGTTGGGATAGGATTTCGGGATGGTGGCTCTTCGCTTTTCTGTGTTATATCTTTTTTTTTCAAGGGATGCTAATCGTGCTTCTATGGTGTTGACCCTTTCAAGTAGGACTATAAATTTGTCCAGTTTGGGTCTGCATGATGGGCAGAAAAGGGGAAATGCAAACTGGGAGGTTTTAAGTTAAGATGATTGTAGGAATTGGGCTACACTTTTGGTTAATCCCAAGTATTTGTGGTAAATATGCATGTTGCATAGGGAGCACTTCATTGTACTTTCATCCTCCTCAAAAGATCCTGTGCAGATGAAGCAGGAGTCGTATGGGTCATCGGTAGAGATCTCTTTTTTTTTGGGTGGGGGTTTGACAATGGAGTGTTTTCCTGGCATGGTAGGTTTGATGTGGAGGCACTGGTGCAGTTGGTGAGGAAGGATTTTTTATTTTTTTATTTTATTATTATTATTTTATTTGTTTATTTATTTGTTTGTTTTATAAATGTGCAGCTGAGCACCTCTTATTTTCTGGTTTTGACTGGTCAAATTCCTTTCCTCCCAATCGCCCAAATACCAGGTGATGATCACCATACGTGCCTCCCAACTACAATGCTGGTAACATATGGCAGGATTATAAATGCAGGAGGGCCATCAGCTTCAGTCTGTGCTGCCAATAAAATTCAGTCAGCAAACAGGGTAACTGTACAATTAAAACATTAGTCAGAAGCCCTTTAGAAAGCAGCCCATTGCTGACTTCCGGTTGATGTCACAGCGAATGGGTGAATGGGTCTCCGCGTTCACTGTGCTGACTTCTCCCTGTTTGTGGGCTCCAAGAGGAGCCAAAGCCATTTTGTAGGGGTGGTGAAGCAAAGAGAGGCACCCTGTGAGGTCAAGGAGAGTTGCAGCTCTCCTGCTTGACCCGGGGTTGTTTTCCCCTCTCAGCCACGGCAAGAGGAAGAAGCAGCCTAAAGATGCCTGCCATAAAGCTGGGACAACCAATGAACAACTATGACTGGTGCTGGAGCGAAGTAGGTGAACAGTGACTGGAACTGGGGGAGAGGATTTCCTTTTGCTTTAAATTTAACCCCAAGGAACAATTTAGAACTATTTGCTCAGAATTACTTGTTAAAGTGGCATCTGAGCATTCTGAGAAAATACCAGATCGAAAGTGAAAGGAGGAGGAGAGGAAAAATAATAAATTTTGAAACACACAGAAAATTGGGCTCTTAAACTGGGAAGACGTGGTACTGGGAAGGCATTTTAAAATGCTGGAATCATTTACTTGCAAAACTTATTCTGCTTTTGTAATTGTTTTACAACTAACATTTGACTAGTGGCAATACTGAAACTTAAGTTGAGAGTGCCACCTGCTGATGAAAGGAAAAACAGAAGTCTGGGAATATCTATATGAAGGACTGAAAATATCTACTGGATTATCTTTAACTATCTTATGACTACTGGAGACTCAAATATGAAAATAAGGAATTTATTTAATTAATTAAAGGGACCCCTGTATGTTATACTAGAAGATTGAACCTGTAAAGGGGATGTGAAGAGACTTTTGATAACTTCTGGGATTATCTAAATGGAACTGACTCTTTACCTATGGGATATAAAGAACTGGGACTAATGCACTCCTTAAAGGGTAACTTAAGGACTGAATAAATAGTTCTTGGACTGCTGGACAAAAGCTGATTCCTTTAAAACAAAATAAGATGCTTTATAAGGAAGAAATGAACAGAATTTCAAGGAGATGGTGTTACTTTTTCAAAACACACAAGACATCATGGAGAAAGGATTTAAGGAGATTATGGAAAAAATGGAAAATACTATACAAGGGATGATGAATAAAGACCAAGACGCCCAAGAAAGGGAGGAGTCAACAGAAGAAATGAAGGAAAAAGAAGACAAAGAGGAGATAACAATGAAAATAACAGTGATTGATGAATTAAACCAGGGGAAAAATATATTAAGAGAGTTGGAAGATACTTTTGATAGGTGCCTGGGCAAAAATTTTGGAAACTAGGCAGTAGAAGAGGGCAGAAGTAGGAGAAATACCTAGATTGAATAGTCAATAAGCAGAGGCAGACAGAGATAAAAATTCAAGAGAGGAATTTGGGAGGCAAATCAAAAAAAGCATAGCAATGAAAGTATTGAAGCGGGCAAGAGACGATGGATAGGTAATTTTTCTTTTTTGTGATTTGTGATTTGTTCTGATTTGCTTTCCTTTTCTCTCTCCTGCTTTTCCTTTTTTAGGTAGGTGACATGATTAGAAATTAGGTAGGATAGAAAGAAAATGTTTTTAATAAAGGGTGACATGATTAAAAGTTAGAATAAGTGACAGAAATAAGAGGAGGAGGAATAGTAGTGTATACGCTTTTATATAATAAAATAAAAGTAATAATAAGAGAAAACATGGAATAATTGAATAATGACAGATTGCAACTTAATATAATTGTGTATCATTATTAGAAATATATAAGTTGATTGACTAATAACTATGATTAATTTTACTAGTTTTATGTTCACGCATTGATTTGATATGTTTGTTAAAAAAAAACTTTAAAAGAAAGAAAGAAAGCAGCCCATTGCTGTGTGATTATTTCCTTTTATTCTTTTTGCTTTTTATTCTGGGTAGTGAAATAGCCCTATTCTGATATTTTAAAATGAAAAGGAATGAGAGCAGAATAAGAATGAATAACGAACCACCTTTGCTGATGCTTCAGAGATAATGCAGTGATGAAGAAAGACAGACTTTGGAATTATTAGCTGGCAGTTCATCTAGTCAGAAGCGGGAAGAAAAACAGAACAACAAAGAGGAAATTCACTTGGCTTGTGCTTGACAGGAGGGTGACAGTTCCAGACAGCTTTTCTCCCAAGTCCAAGGAAGTGGGTGATCCAAACCTGGGAAAAGTTTTGGATTCAGACTTGTACAACAGATTTAGGAGGTTCTGTCATGATTCTGCAGCGATGTCAGCAGTTGTGGTCAAAATGTGAAGGTGGCAGCCAAGATGGTGCAGTCAAAGTTTCACCAGGCCTCCATCTTGAGTTTTGGGACTACATCCTGCCCATGCCTCTGCAATTTGGGGAGAATTCCAGCCCACCGAACATCCTTGTTCGGCTTAACTTCTCTAACTCAACTTTTCTGCTTTGAAAGGTATTATTAAACCTTGTAAGATAGGGGCTTTCGTTCTGAATTTCCTCTTTAATTAATGTTTTAAATAACATCTAATATTTTGTGTCTGGACCTCAGCAGATGACCTTTGATTGTTTTTACTGAAAACAATAACCAGCAGGCCAGAACTCTGTAAACATAAAGTTCTTAAAAACTTAAAATGAATGTTACCATAACATAAACTTTCTTGGATCCACCAAAACAGATGCTGAATTATTTTTTAAAACTTTTTTTGGTCATGAATAATTTGGGGAGGTGGGAGGTCTTTGAATTGCACTTGGTATTTGAAAGACAAGCTGGGATTTCACTCAAAAAAGCTGACCATGTCAGGACAAAAAAGTAAGTGAAATAATTTCAAATTATCTCTATCAACTTGCATCCATGAAAACACGATTGTCCAAACTTTTGTCTTGCTCTGGGCCATGTTGAATGAAGAGGAATTGTCCTAGTGTATATAAATAACAAACTTCCTTTATTTTTAAATATTTTTTATAATCTTGTGGGACCCCATTGCTAGCTGTCCAGGGCCACATGATCTCCTGGGCTGCTGGTTGGACACACTTGCATTAAAATAAATTATGATGCCTCTTGTCAATGTCTAATCCTTTCTATTTCCTCCTTTTTATCACATTAAACACAACAATTTGAGAGCAATGTTAGCATGTTCTGGGGGCCCTACCAAAAGCTTTGGGGTGGCTCTGGGGGCCCTGACTGGGCACTCTAGGGTCAAAATGTTTTTCTTTGCTATCCAGGTTTCACCTAGGTCCGTGATGGCGAACCTATGGCACGCGTGCCACAGGTGGCACATGTAGCCATATCAGTGGGCACGTGAGCTCAGCAGCTGATTTTTGGGCCTTCTGGGACCACCAGAAGTAGGGAAACAGGCTGTTTCCTGCCTCCGGAGGGCCTCAGGGAGTGATGGGGAAGGCCCGTTTTTCTCTCTTCCCAGGCTCCAGAGCCTTTCTAGGAGCCTGGGGAGGGTGAAAATGGCCTCACCCCCCCCCCCCCCCCCCCCGAGGCTGGAAACGGCCCATTTGCCAACTTCCGGTGTGACCGGAAGGCCCATTTTTTGCTGTGAGAGAGAAAAACAGGCCTACTGGGCCATCGTGTGCCAGGAGCGGGGAGAGGGGGGGATGCGCATGCTTGGGGGCGGGCCGCATAGAATTATGGGTGTGGGCACGCAGCCCCCACGCTCCCCCCTTTCCTGGCATGCGATGGCAAAAAGGTTAGCCATCACTGATCTAGGTTCTCTGAAGCTGGTTCCGTTGTAGTTGTAGCTCATCCAGCCCCTCCTCTCTTTTCCCTTGCAGGTCCAGTGATCAAAGCCGAAGTAGGTGACACCATTCAGGTGACCTTTGCCAACAAAGCCTCATGGCCTTTCAGCATCCAGCCCCATGGTGGGTTTTACAAGAAGTCATGGGAAGAAGCCCCACACCAGGATGGTTCGTTCTTCTAACCTCTTTGTGCTCATTTTTTAATCTCTTCCAGAATGAAACACATATGTAACAGGCGTGATCCTTTCAGTCAGAAAACAGGTCAGGCAAATTATGTTTTTGGGCTGAGAAACAGAAGCAGTTTTATAGGATGCCTTCATGTGGAACACTGGCCACTTTATACTCCAACCTGGTGTCCTCTGTGTCAGTGTTAATTATGGGAGGTGAAGGAAGCCAAGTTGTGGAAGGCTTCTACAACTTCCTGCTTTAAAAGCTTTTTATGCAAAAATGCTTTAGCAAAAAGTGCAAAAAAGCATTCTTAATCTGCCTTATTTCATTAACCCCTCTGAGAACTTCTGAAAATAACAATGACTGATAGTTGCAACCCAACACTTCCTTTGAAAATATGTCTATCTTCACTTCCCCCAAGAAAGGATGAAATGGAAATTAAGCTAACATACCCTTGACTTCCAGTAAATGGATATTGCAATGATTAGTGATTATTATCTTGGCAGACATATTTGGGTGCTCCCTCTCCGTGATAGCCATTTTGTACAGGGTGATATGCCCGTAGATGGAAACAGCCAGGAACATCTGTTCCCATAGTGCATTCTATGAGATGTTTTGATGGACCAGTGACCGAAAATGTACAAATAACTGGGTTTTTTCTCCTTCATTTTAAAGACCTATTCAAAAATGGAGCATCCATCAAGCCATTTGGCAACTTCACATATCTCTGGGTGCTACCACCACATGTTGGCCCCACAGCCTCTGACCCTCCCTGCCTGACCTGGATGTATTCTTCTGCAGTGGATCCCACAAGAGACACCAACTCTGGCTTAGTGGGGCCCTTACTCATCTGTAGGCCTGGCACGCTCAATGAGAGAAACAAGCAGGTACTTTGTCTTGTTTGGTCATGCCTATCACAAGTGGAGAAATCATGCAACCTGTGAGGGAAGGCTTATAAATGAAAGGCAGAGCATCTGTTTTGGAGTAAGAAGCCCAGGTCAGCACTAGCATGCATTCTCAGGGCTAGGGAGGCCTCAGAGCCAGATTTGCTCTTGGGGCAGACTGCAGCTACCGTTCTAATACATGCTGTAAACCACAGTGTGTGTGTGTGTGTGTGTATGTGAGTGTTTGTGTGTTTTGCTTTGGCTGCATCTGTTTGCCAGATGTGTTGAATACCAACTTGTTTGAGTCCTCTACAAATATTATTAGATAAAGTAGATAAAGAAGCATGCTGTAAACAAATCTAACTATTTAGGGATAATAATTGAATAATATCTTTTCTGCCTTCTTTCTAGTTGTTGTAAAACCCTGGTGCAAAAATGATGCCTTTGCTTTATAAACCTAGATCTATCAGTTGGTATATAATAAAAATTGCTGATATGCACAAACACATGCAATAAATTAATATTCTGTTTAAGTGGTTGGGTCTTAGCTCCGTTTAATAACAAGACAGAATCATTAAGGCTGCCATCGGAGATTTTAATAATTAAATAATTAAATGTATATCCAGAGGGAAGTCAACTACAGACAATTCTCAATGACCATAATTGAGCAGAGAATTAGGGTTGTGAGTCAAGGTGGGTCACCACATGACATCACCTTTTTTGCTGTGGCCATTAAGTGAACACAGCAGTTATTAAATGAATCCATTTTATCCAGTTGGCATTTTTTGCCAGAAACTGGAAGTAAATGCCAGAAACTGACAAAAAATTCTGAAAATTGCTATCACGTGATCACAGGATGCTGTAAACAGCCATAGGCACAATTGCTATCATGATCACGAGACAGCCCTAGACACAAGCCAGTTCGGCTGAAGAGGTTGTAGAAAAAAATGCTTTTAAAAGCCTCTGATAATCCCAGCTGAGCCGCGTGATCATCAGAGGCTTTTTTTTAACTTTTAAAAGCATTTTTTCGGCCGAAGAGGTTGTAGAAAAAATGCTTTTAAAAGTAAAAAAAGAAGCCTCTGATGATCACGTGGCTCAGCTGGGCATGCGGGGGGAGGGGGCGCCAGGATTTTTGCTACCGGTTCTCGGAACCACCCGCCGCCATCGCTACCGGATTGGGCAATCTTGTCCAAACCGGGAACATTTCACCCCTGCAACATCCCCATTTTAGCTTTGTGACACAAAATAATTTTATATTCCCTGATTTTATTCCACTTTTCTGTGTGTGGACTAGCTGACGATTAGTAAGTTGTTGTCCCAAATAGACTGGCTGGGCCCAGGATGCAAAATCAATAACACAGACCAGAGTAGATATTAGGAGGTTTTATTTGAGCCACTGAAGGAGGGGGCAGGAAAAATATACCCCACTGGTTTTTATACAGTTCTTATGAAGCACAGTTGGGTTTTTCAAGGAAACAAAATTAAACAAAAACACAATAAAAAATCATTAAGTCTTTTACACCTTTCTGTTTTTACCATAGAAGTTAATAGGACTTTGTTACACAGCTTGTTCCATGGAAATTGCCCTGTTGTTTTAATAGTTTCTCATATTTTATTCCCACATGTTTTGCTATCTCTCACCCTCTTTATAATTCTTTATAAAAGAAATTCCCTCTGTCCGCTGAGCTAGTTGAAATAGCAAAGTAGACTATCACCTCGGTTATCAAATGAGATTCCAAAACCTGATATCCTCTGTGTTGTTTCCTAGAGAGGCATTGATAAAGAGTTTTACCTTTTGTTTGGTGTGTTTAATGAAAACCTAAGCTGGTATCTGAACACAAATCGGAAGTATCTGAAATTGGGGAAAGAAGAACTGTTTGAGGATCACATCTTCAAAGAGTCCAATAGAATGCATGGTATGTCGATGTGCCCAATCTGGGGGATGAAAGCAAAGGACCAGCCAATTCAGGATAGGAGGTTGGAAGTCAATTTCTTACTACAGATCAGGGATGTGAGATCTCAGGAAACAGAGCAATGTCACTGCAGAAGCCAAAGTTTGGTCTAGTGGTGAAGGCACCAGGCTGCGAACCAGGAGACAGTGAATTCTAGTCCTGCCTTGGTATTAAAAGCCAACTGATTGACTTTGGCAAGTCACGGCCTCTCAGCCCAGCCCACCTCACAGAGCTGTTATTGTGGGGAAAAAGAGGGAGTATTACATATGTTCATCTTGAGTTATTTATAAAAATAATAAAGAATGGGATATAAACAAAACAAAATAAACTTCCATATAGACAAATCCAAGAATCAGAGCTGAGTGTGGTTTTGTACCAGTCCAAAGATCAACAAGGGAATCAGAAGCAGCACTCGCTGAGTAAGACTTGCCTGAAGTTGGAAATTGTTTCCCTACTCAAACTCACGTCATCATCACGTGACATATCGGGACTTTTTCCCCTTCGCTAAACCAGGTGTGGGCGTGGCCAGCATGTGACGCATCCAGCCCGCCGGCTGGGAGTTTGACAGCCCTTTTATAGCACGACTAGGCATGGCTGTTCTCCTGAGTGTTGCCTCTTCCTTTGAGGAGCCGCATTTCATATCTATGATCTACTTGCTGGGTACCAAAAGGCAAGAGCAGAATTCTGAAGCCCAATTCTCTTCCAGTTCAAAGTCTGACTCATCAAACAGGCTCATAACCTTCAGATATTAATTATAGCAACTCAAATTTGTAATGGTGGATGCAAATATTTGAACAAATTGACAGTGAATGGTTGTTTATGTAGGTCGACCTCATCCTTTTTCTTGAGGAAAAGTTTCAGGACATCCTTCAAAGAAAAGCTTGAAAGCAACAGCTCTCTCCATTATTGCTTGTACAATGACAATCTGCAAATTAAAAGCAAACATAGACAATTCATAGAGCTCATAGTCAACAGTAGACTTCCTCTCCTCTTTCTGTTATGCTTGACCCGATTTCTATCCTTGCTAGCCAGCATCACTAATGCCCACCTGGGGTGAAAATTAGAGGAAGTAAAATCCAGCATATGGAGGTCCCAAATTTAGGAATCCTGGTTTTCCCACTTTCTGGTTTCTCAATTAATGCCTAAGTTTTCATTTTACAGCAGTGAAATCCAGACAAGAATTACACTTCATTGCTTGGATGAATTTCTGTAGAAGTCCGTGGGGGTCTTCTGCTTTGAGTTAGAAGTCTTAGATTCCTTCAAATGTTCTCCAGTACTGTGTTCCAGGCCAGCAGCAGCCTCAACTCTGATTGGCTGCAGTGCCTATCTGTCCCTTCCCTCCTGCGGTTACTGCCTGGACAGTCATTTTATCCTGGGCTGCTGATCTCCTATGTTTTAGGCTGGTTAGCAATTGCCATTTTTAAATAACTTCATGTTGATCCAGCAATGGCCCATTAAGTCAATGAGGTATCCTCACTGGCATTTGTTCACCTTCTCTAGAACCTCATTGCTCCATCTCCCAGTGGGCATCCTTTCAGTTTCTGCCCAGACTGGGCAAAGTGTACCACTCCATACTCCCAGCCTCTCCCTTATTTTATTTCATTTTTGACATCTTTAAGTTGCCATGTAGAAGTCCTGTTGCTTTGCTTCTGAGAAGCTGAACTATTTATTCTTCCTTGCTATCAGCAAGTTATCCTGGATTTGGAGAGGCTGGTAGGAAGAACTACTGCCTTGATTGTGGCAGCATCAGAGCAATAAAGGGAAAAAGGAAAGCAGAAAGGTCTGCATTGGTATCAAAAGAGGAGGGTGGGGAGGCTGTGGAGGCATCCATGGGCAAATATCTGCAAAGCAAAGCAAGGAGGCAGGGATTGGTAAACAGGCAAAGCCCCCAGGGGAAAAGGCAGGAAGGGGAGCAGCAGGCAAATGGCCCCACAGCCATTTGCCTTCTATCGCCCCCACCATCCTTCTATTGCCCCTGCCAGAATCGATGAAACTTCTTGGATGAGAAGTGAAAGTTCTTCTTTTTCTTCCTCAAGGAAAAAACACTCCAGTTGCCCTTTAAGGCAGCCCCACAGCTCTTGCAGTGGCCACAGCTCAGGCATTTGGCAATCCTCTCCCCACACTCCTTTTCTCAGTTTTTGATTTCTGGAGTTTGAATCCTGTTTTCTACTCAGTTTGAGCATTCCCAAATTATCACTGGATGAAATGTCCCCTGAAAACTGAGCCCACTGTTGATTTTTCCCTGTTTTCTTTTGCATTGAAGCCATCAATGGATTCCTCTTTGGAAATTTGCCTCTTCTGGATATGTGCAAGGGAGATACCATTTCCTGGCACCTGCTGGGCTTTGGCAGTGAAACTGATGTTCATGGGGTTGTTTTCCAAGGAAATACCATCTTGATGAATGGGATGAGGCGAGATACAACCAGTCTCTTCCCTCACACCTTCGCCACAGCCCTCATGCAGCCTGATAACCAAGGTAAAGGCTTAACTTGGTGCCCTCCCTTCCCTCTCTCAGGATTGAGAAACTTGGCCCTTCACAGTGTGTGGAACCACAGCTCTCCATATTGTCCCTCACTTTTGGCCAGACTGGCTGCACTTTCCAGAGGCTCTAGAATTTCCAGATCTGATCTTAACTCCTTTCCGTACTAAGTTTAAGATGAAGGCAAACAGCGTAACAGCTGCAGAGCAGTGTGGAAAGCACTTGGATACTATTTTGTTTACCTATTGAGAGATGGTCTGCCTCCCTTTGCATCTAGGAACTCAAGGAAAAGAGGAAGTTGGTGTTGTAGGTTGGGCTGAGCAAATGCCAAGTGAGCGCCATAATTGGGAGAGGACTTTTACTGCAGTTTTTGGAGTAGTGATCTAACAGATTAACTACTGTATTTGCTCTCAGTAAATTCAGAACAAGCAAACCCTTCTTGAGAACTCTCCAAGCATGGCAACTACTGGTGTCTGAGAAGTGAACAAATGCTTCTACTCCCATCTCCAGTCCCTGGAAAAGTTTAAGCATCTTGTTCTATTACTTTAAGCCAGAAGATGCACACATATGGTGTTTAAAAAATGTTGGCCTGTTGCCAGATCTGAGAGAACTTCGATCTGCCTTTCCCAAAGTTGGTAGAGAAGCTTCAAGGGTGTCTTTACCCCCATCCTGATTCCGGGCATCTTCTCAGTAGCTTTGTTTGCCTCCTTCCAGGCACTTTTGGTGTGTACTGTCAGACCAGCAACCACTACCAGAATGGAATGAGAGGCAGTTACTCTGTTCGGCAGTGTGGGGAAAAGGCCTATTTTCCAGACCGACAGCATGGGACAGTGAGAACCTTTTACATCATGGCGGAGGAGACGGAGTGGGACTACGCTCCAGACCGCAGCTGGGAGTCGGAAAGGCACAACAGCTCTGGAGAGGAAAGGTATCAGTGCTGTTTCTGAGATAACTGCTTCTGGTGATTCGTTTCCGGGAAATGGGATGCAGTCAATCGTATTGCTCTATGTTTTGGGGGAATTCTCATGAAAGATGTTTAAATCAATTAGACTTATAGGCTAGAATTTTAAAAGAGAGGTAGGTCAATGGGGAATGATCCTGAGGAAGGTAAAGAAGCTGATTAGTGGGATGAGAAGAAGCCCTAGAAAATTAGCCTGGAGAAGAGCCAATGAGGAGCTGAAGGACTTTCCTCAGAGGAGGTGAAGGGCTATTCTCTGTTGTCTCATGCTGGAGGATCCTCAGTTACTGGAGGATTAATTTTTGCCTGAGTATCAGCAAAAGCTTATTGACAGCCCAGAGAAGTGAGCAATTATCTAGTGGTTCTAACAGAATAACAGGAAAGGATCTTGGCGGTCTTTTCATCTAATCAAGCAGGAGACCCTGTACCATTTCAGAGAAATGGCTGTCCAGTCTCTTCTTAAGAGCCTCCAGTAATGGAGCACCCACAACTTCTGGAGGGAAGTCATTCCACTGGTTAATTGTTCTCACTGTAAGGAAATTTCTCCTTAATTGGAGATTGCTTCTCTCCTTGATTAGTTTCCATTCGTTGCTTCTTGTCCTGCCCTCAGGTGCCTTGGAAACTACTGTGTTTCCTCGAAAATAAGACAGGGTCTTATTTTCTTTTGACCCAGCCCCCTAAATAAGGGTTTGGCCTTACTATCGGGGAGTCTTATTATTTTTGGAGTGCAGGAGGCAGCGAGTGTGGGACTGGATGTCCTGTCACTGTCGTTACCTCCCCTCCCTGTTCTTCATGCCGGCCGAGCGGCCCAACACGACCCACCCCACCCCAATAGCAACAGCTGCTTCCCTTTCCCGCTGTCTCTTTATCAAGAGGGATGGCAGGTGGGGTGGGGGAGAAGCGAGACGCATGGAGCGAGACGTGGCTCCCCTTGCCGTCTCTTCTTCCCTTCTTGCAGGGCATGACAGGGCTCCTGCCTCTCGCTTAGCCACCCCCCCTTTAGGGATGCAATTTGGGGGTGGCAGGTAGGGCAGGTGAGAAGCAAGATGTGCGTCTACCTTTCCAGCTCCGTCGCATTCCTCACTGTTGTGTCTAAGGAAACATGCTGTAAAAGAAAATCTCATGAGTTCGATCAAACTTCTCGAACTCGCAAGGTTTTCTTTTACAGTGTGTTTCCTGGACACAATGGCGAGGAAAGTGACAGAGCTTGAAAGGTAAGACCTGTGTTCCGCTTCTCGCCCACCCTACCTGCCATCCCCAAACTGCGTCTCTAAAGGGGGCGGGTGGCTAAGCAAGGAGCAGGAGCCCTGCCATGCCGTGCCGTGCCTGGTGAGGGGGGGAGGGGAGAAGAGACGGCAAGGGGAACCACATCTCGCTCCACGCGTCTTGCTTCTCCCCTGCCCCACCTGCCACCCCTCTCGATAAAGAGATGGCAGGGAAGGGAAGCAGCCAGGCCGCTGTTGCCATCGGGATGGGGTGGGACGTGTTGGGCTGCTTGGCCGGCGCGAAGAACAGGCAGGGGAGGGCCTGTCCCCCCTTTTCCCCCCCTCCGGCCTCGCCTCAACTCATTTTGGTTGCGCAGCAAGCAACCAGAGGAAATGGTGGGACCGGATGTGCATGCGTGTAAGTAGTTGGTGGGGGGGCTTATTTTGCGGCAGTGGCTTATATTATTGCATGTGCTAAAAAGCCCGATTGGACTTATTGTCCGGACATATCTTATTTTTGGGGAAACACAGTAGGTTGATCCCCTCCTCTTTGTGGCAGCCCCTCAAATATTGGAACACTGCTATTATGTCACCCATAGTCCTGTCAGGTTCTGTAAAGATTGGAAAAATATACCTCAATATGCAAAAGCAGTAACCAAGTTTGTTTATCCTGATATCAGTACTAACTGACCACCTTAAATTGTTACAGAAAGGAATCTTTTTTGGAGCTGACGTTCCATGCTCCCCATAATCTTTTAATCAGCATATAGCTCCACCCAAGTGCAATCACTCAATTATGCAATTACCCTGTATCCTCCCTCTCCCTCCCCAATCCATCACAAGCCACTTCAGTTGTTCTGCCTGCTCATCTTTCCTTAAAGTGATAAGGTTGATAAACTGCTTCAGTGCATAACCCTGTTGTCATCTAGCATGTGGCTGGGAAGTCGAAGTGACAGGCATGCCTCGGAGCTGTTGACCCAGGAGAGCAGGCACACAGTAAGGATCGTTGGCGAAAGTGTGCAGCAGCAGCAGAATGGCGATCCCACACGAATGGTGGCCCCAAATATTGTCGCAGGGCTGGGGCTGACAAGTCCTTTTTTTTCACTAGACTAGACATACCCAATTCCTCCAACCGTTCTTCATATGTTTTAGCTTTCAGTCCCCTAATCATCTTTATTGTTCTTTTTTCTAGAGTCTCAACACTTTTTTATATTGTGGTGGCCAAAACTGGATGCAATATTCCTAGGGTGGCCTTACCAAGCCATTATAAAATGGTATTAACACTTCACATGCTCTTGATTCCATCCCTCTGTTAATGCAGCCTAGGACTGTGTTGGCTTTTTTGGCAGCTGCAGCACATGGCTGGCTCATACTTAAGTGATTGTTCACCAGGACAGTGGTCCCCAACCTCCGGGCTGCGGCCTGTTCGGAACCGGTCCATGTGAACAGCGGGCAAGCATGCGCAGCTGCACTTGCATGAGCAGCGGGTGTTCGCGCTCACTCACAAAGCTCCATCTTTGTGAGCAGAAGGCGTGCACACCCGCCATTCGCACAAATGGAACCTGCCTCTCACACAGAACCATCCCCTCTCCTCCCCCCCCTCCACCGGCCTGGCCACCAAGTTGGAAAGGTTTGGGGCCACTGCACTAAGGACTCCCAAGATCCTTCTCACAGTTACTGCTATTGAGCTATTCCGTACTTGTGCATTGGGTTTTTTTGCATAAATATAGAACTTTACTTTTCTCACCATTGAATTACATGTTGTTAGATAGAGCCCAGTGTTCAAGTGTTTCAAGATCCTTCTGTATCTTGAATTACCTTCTGGAGTGTTGGCTATTCCTGCCAGCTTGGTGTCATCTGCAAATTTCCCCTTTATGCCCTCATCTGAATTATTGATGAAGATATTAGGTGGTCACCTAGCTAGGTGGCTCTGTGGCTAAGACACTGAGCTTGTCGTTCAGAAAGGTCGGCAATTCGGCGGTTCGAATCCCTAGGTCTCCTGCATGAGCAGGGGGTTGGACTAGATGACCTCCAAGGTCCCTTCCAACTCTGTTACTATTATCTGTTATATTGTACTGGGCCTAAGACAGAGCCTTGGGATACCATACTGCATACTTCCCTCCATGTAGATGCAGTTGTATTACGGACTACGCGTTCCCTTATTTGAATTTTCTGAAACGGGGGACTTTCTGCAGCTTTCTATTTAGTTTTGCTCCTCTGACCTCTAACCTCCACCCAGCACACTCTTGAGTGTTGCTTCTTTTTACACTTTGCATCTTAATGTGTGGAAGCTGGATAGAGCACAAATGGGACTGCAGGCCTGATCATTGCCTCCTCCCAGCTTGTATCTTGGCAGAGGCCCGATGATGCTTTGAGTTCTTGCCCCTGGCCATTTCTCCTCCAACTCCCCAGGCCCTCCAGAAACTTCTTCCTCCTTCAACTTCTGCTGGGCTTTCAGTTCAGCCTCTGAGGCTGGCGCACAGGCATCTAGAAGGGAAAAGGGCTACAGGTCCTATTGGGGGAGCTGCCTCTTTATTCCTCCGCTAGGAAGAGAAGTTGGCTGTCAGTCCCTTCCTTTGCCAAGGCCTCGATCTCCTTCCTGCAGCAGAAACCACTTGACCCCCCAGCAGAGGTGTCCACAGGGAGTGAGTCAAAAACCTCAAGATGGTAGCCACAGCCATGTATTCAAAGCCCTGCCCCTTTATACCACAAACACTGTGACAATGTTAAAAAGGGTTTGATTGTCTGGCTTTGACCCACCTCTTGACTTTCTTGACCCTCCCCATATATCCCTGCCACCCTCAGAGCCACCTGTGGTCAAATCCTAAACCTATTCCAGGGAAAAGCCTTCATGGGGTAACCATCTCAGATGTCAGGAGGCAAGACACAAAACGGAACAAAGCAAGAGTCATTTCCCTGAGATGGCTATAGAAATTGAACAAATAAATAAATAAATTGGAAAAAAAACCAAAACTTCTTTGGAGGTATTTGATGTCTTGATATTTCTATATAAGAATTATTGTAATTCTCAAAATCTTAGACCAAAAGGCAGAGCCTGAAATTCCCTGGGCCACATCAGGAATCAAAAATCATATGTAAAATTTGCAGAAATATTTTTGAACTTTTTACATCTGTCTGATTTCCCTACCAGCTTTCCTGTCAGCCAGCTCCAGATCAGTTAAAGCCAGATTTCCTTGAGTTAAATCTGCCCAAAGCAATGAATGATAATCTGATACACACCATTGTAAGTTGTTCATTTGTGCTAACCATGCATCTTTTATGCAAAAAGAGATTTTGAAATCCACAGGTATGGTGACATATTTCTCAACCGTGAGAATGGACGACTGGGCTCCCGGTACAAGAAAGCTGTTTATAGGGAATATACAGATGGGACATTCAAGATCCCGAAGAATAGAATAGATGCTGAGCAACATCTGGGGATATTAGGTAACCCACTGAAACTTTCAGATTTAACTTTCATTCCAGCTAGTAGAATTTTAAACTCTTTCTGGCATTATTTTCAAGAGTGCATCTTTTTCATACACTCCCGATAAGCTTTGCAGCTTCTCAACCAAGATATTTCCATCCCAGAAATGAAGATTATCTTTGAAATACGGATAATTTAATTTTAATTTAATTTAATTTAATTTAATTTAATTTAATTTCCAATTTATATACCGCCCTTCTCCCTGAGGACTCAGGGCGGTGTACAGCCAAGATAAAAAACATAGAATACAAATATTAAAACATTTAAAAATATATATAAATTTTGGCCCGAAAGTTAAGAATCACAGACTAATTAAAAGAATTTAAAAATTTTAAAAATTTCTTCTTAAGCCAACCCGGCTTGCTGAAAAAGATAGGTTTTCAGGGAACGACGGAAGGCATTGAGGTCCTGGATTCTTCTTATCTCCGGGGGCAACTGATTCCAGAGGGTGGGAGCCCCCACAGAGAAGGCCCTCCCCCTGGGGGCCACCAGCCTACATTGTTTGGCTGATGGCACCCTGAGGAGGCCCTCTCTGTGGGAGCGCACGGGTCGATGGGAGGTCATCGGTAGCAGCAGGCGGTCTCGGAGATAGCTAGGCCCTATGCCATGGAGCGCTTTAAAGGTGATAACCAACACCTTGAAGCGCACCCGGAAGACCACCGGGAGCCAGTGCAGCTCGCGCAGGAGCAGTGTTACATGGGAGCGCCATGTTGCTCCCATCACTACCCGCGCTGCTGCATTCTGGACCAGCTGGAGCCTCCGGGTGCTCTTCAAGGGGAGCCCCATGTAGAGAGCGTTGCAGTAGTCAAGGCGAGAGGTGACGAGGGCGTGAGTGACTGTGCACAAGGAATCCCGATCAAGAAAGGGCCGCAACTGGCGAATCAGGCGAACCTGATAAAAGGTCCCCCTGGTAACAGCCGTCAGATGTTCCTCCAAAGACAGCTGCCTATCCAGGAGGACTCCCAGATTGCGAGCCCTTTCAGTGGGGGCCAAAGACTCGCCCCCAATAGTCAGTGATGGAGTCAACTGACTATATCGGGATGCCGGGAGCCACAGCCACTCAGTCTTGGAAGGGTTGAGCCTGAGCCTGTTCCTCCCCATCCAGATCCGCACAGCCTCCAGGCACTGGATAAGATGAACAACCATTTGTCCAGGATGGAATAAGGACTCCTGCCCTGGGCATCTCCATGTGGCTCTTGGGTGGGGGTGGGGGAGATAATTTGGATGGAGGGCGCTCAAGATAGTCCTCGGCCTGCAACCATTCATTCAGCATCTATTCAAAGTTACGATGGCATGAAACAAATTGTGGTTCACAACTAGTCCTTCGAGTTCTGGCCATCCCAGGGGCTCTGAAGTCACATGACTGCGATCTGGACACTCGGCAGATGGTTTCTACTTCTGACCAACTGCAGCGTCCCGCAATCCCATGATGGCTATTTGCAATCTTTCCTTCTGGCTTTCCCAGAAAGTGAAAGGGGAAACCAACATCCAAGATCTCAAGTCACTGGGGTAAGTCTCTCCCACCCACCCCCGCCCCACAGTGTTTCTGCGCCTGTAGCATGCCTGTTCTTTGGGCACCTTTGGGTGCCCTTCCCAACTTGGACCATCTTTGTGACAGAGGTTCCAATCCCAATTTCCATCATAAATTCAGGACTACCTGTAAAGGGTCCCCTTCATTTGCACTGAGAATGCACTTCAGCTTCTCTCTGCTTTCCCCCCTCCCCTCCTCCCTTTCCAAAACCACAAGAGCTTCTGCATTGGCCTCATGCCTGGGGAAAGTTAAGCATGTCGGAGTGGACAGAGAAGTGTCCATGAAACAATTTTTGGTCAGCACATCGGATCCTTTGGAGACATCCCTACTGGCTTTGGGGAAGTGTGATGGACAACAGGTCTTTCTGGATTCTCTAGCACAGCTTATCAAAGCCTGGGAAGAAAGGGCTGGAGAAAGCCTGGCTAGTGTCCTAGGGCTGCAAGGGACCTTGAAGGTCTTCTAACCCAACACTCTGCCCAAGGCAAGAGTCCTTAGACCATCCTGGACAAACGGTTATCCAATCTTTCCTTGAAAACCTCCAGTGATGGAGCATCCACAACACTGAGAAGCAAATTGTTCCATTGATTCATCGTTCTGCCTAATCGTTTCTCCTTAATTCCAGGTTGAATCTTCCTCTGACAAGCTTCCATCTCTTGCTTATTGCCTTGCCTTCAGGTGCTTTGGAGAGTAAACAGGTGCCCTGAGCCATGGGGTCCAGTGGAGCTAAGCAAAGCACTGGCTCCTTCTCTCAGAAGCAAAGTGGTTATGTTGCTCTATGAAGCTGCTTGGAGGGGGGTACACATTGCTGTTCACCAGAACCACCACCCCCCCGAAGTTTTGCAAACTCCCAGTCATCTTCTTTTGCTTTATCCTTCTCGCCTCCAGGTCCCTTTATTTGGGCAGAAGTGGGAGATGTGCTGAACATAGTTTTTAGGAACAATGCCACGCGGCCTTACTCCATTCATGCCCATGGAGTCCTGGAAAAGAACAACAGAGACTCCAAGACAGCAGTGCCTGGTGAGTCTTGCCGGCATTTCCTTGGCAACCTATATGCCTGAGTTTTGTTTCTTCATTTAAATGTATTGTGTTTGTGTGTCTGTGTACCAAAAAGTCCACAACTGCATCATCTGTCCTAAAATGAGGACAATCTTCCCTAAGAATTTTCAATGCAGTCCTAAAACTGTAGCTTCTGGATGGACAGGGTGGTGAGAAACTCAGAAATTCCTGGTGAGGAAGATGCTAATACTTCTTTCCTGCCTATAATTATCTTTCCTGATTCAAAGAATCCAGAGTATCGGGTTGACGAAGAGACATATAAAAAGGAGAGGGTCTTTCTGTGGTCATGGTGGTCATCTTGATTTTTTTCGCCTGTCCTTTGTTCATGCTCCTTCTCCCATCTTTTCCCCAAGGACTGGGGATATGCTTCTCTTTTTGTTTTGGTCAGTGACCATAATAAAGATTATAGAACTTCCTTTTTTTATACTAGTGTTTCTAAACGTCAGCAACTTTAAGATGTGTGGACTTCAACTCCCAGAATTCTAGCTGGCTGAGGAATTCTGGGAGTTGAAGTCCACACATCTTAAACTTGCCAAACTAAAGTTGAGAAAGATTGAAGTATACCATAGTCCAGTGAGGGAGTTTAGGTTGCGAATGGAAACTTGGTCCAAGATCAGCAGTGAGCCTTGTGGCTTAATAGAGTCTTGATCTCAGATTTCCCCAGTTGTCATCTGAAAACTAATTTTGGTGTCCCACCGGCTCACATAATAACACTAGTTGTGTTATTTAGTCTCTCTTCATCTGCAATTGCTGTGAAAGTCAGCAAGAGCCCCCAAAGTCTCATTTGAGCAAACAATTTATGAAAACTGAATAGCGCCAATAAATATCTTAAAAAATGCAGAAGTATTTAAAATAAATTTATATTTAAATAAATACAGAATAGAGTCAAAACATGGTTTGTGAGCAACAGCTAAAAAGAACATTATTGTATAAGAAAAACCCACACACCCCAATCAAATACGTTTTAGTTGCACAATAGCAGAGAACAATATTCTTAACCAGTCAACTAGGTAGCGCTGTGCTGGTAGAAGCATTTAAGCTAATAATCTTAGTAAAATGTAAATTTGGTTTGTGAAAATTAGCACAGATCAAAGAAGAACACAGGTAGACTATTGTTCGAATAAAGGTATTGTTGAATCAACAATGGGACAGTCCTGGATATTAGCCGATGCCCTGTAGTATGTCTCTGTATAGTAACTTAGGTCTGCTGATAAACATGCTGGTTTTCTAATGGCTTGTGCTCTCTTTTGTAGCTTGGTGTTCATGAGGAGGGCAGCCTCATGTACACCAAGGGCAGCCTACAATCTGCCTTTATAACTGAAGGCCTTAATTTTCAGATGCACAATCCTCTGTAGCTAAAGTTCCTAACAAAAGTGTTGAAATTTCTCTCTCCTAGGAGAAATTGTAACCTATCAATGGGATGTTCCTGAAAGATCTGGTCCAGGACCAAACGATTCAGCCTGTTTGAGTTGGATCTACTATTCCACAGTGGATCGTGTCAAGGTGTGTGTGTTTCCATTTCTCGTTGTTGATGTTCTCTCCCAGGGTGGGATGGAGCTGCCCAAGGAAATGTTAGTGGTCAAGATGGAGACTAGGAATGCCTGAAGCCCACCCCAGCCATGGCAGCTGCCTGGGCGACTTGGAGACTGTTGTTCTCCCTCAGCCAAGACTACCTCATGGACTGGCGGATGGACTGGCGGCTGTGGGGAAAATGAGGGAGGGAGTCTCATCCATGCCATCTTGAGCTCACCGAGGAAGTTGTGTTTGTGGGTGGGTGTTTCTGTGTGTGTGTGATATACCCCTCACAAACAAATTGGCAGGCTAGAAGCTGTTTAGTCACTTCACAAAAATAAGTAATAAAGTAAAAGAGACATGAACATACATGAGGCTCCTCAAAGCAGTTTTCCTACCTTAGCTTTTCTCTTCCTTTTGTTCTTCCTGCATGGAAGATGAAGGAGCAGCTTCTTCTTTCCAAGAATTCTGACCTGCAGTTTATGTAAGCTACCTTTCCTTCTCCACTGGACTTAGCCCCTGTTACATCACATTAGGTCCTATTGTTGCCATCATTGAGCCCTGAATTAGTCACAAATCATGCCAGTTGTTAAGCGGGTCACTATGTGACCACACCCAATTTGGTCGTTAAGCAAATGTCTTTGTAAACACTATAGTCATTAATACTGTGGTCATTAAACTAAACCATTGTCATTAATGGGCGCTTTCTGCTGGAAACCAAAGTAAATGCTGGGTTCTGGCAAAAACGTAAATCGTGGTCATGTGATGCTACAAAAGGCTATAAATGAAGGCCACTTGCCAAGCATCCACAATGGGACCCCCCAGGCCCACAGAAGGTGGGCAGTCGTCAGAACTTCAAATCCAGGTTATAAATAGTTAGGCTGGAAAAGTCCGTTGTAACTGCTGGTCAGTTGAGGGCCACTTTAGCATTGGCTGAGGCAAAACAAGCTGAATAGAATTGGACTGAATTTTAGTCTTCCTTTGTTCTGGTGTGTCACACCTATTTAAACAGTTTAAGGCCTTCCCTGATGCAGCTGAATGTGCTCTGCACTGGTGTGTTAATGAAAAGTGTGAAGAGTTCTAGCAAATATATGCGAAGAGTTTTTGCTACCTCCTTTTCTGGCAGGATTTGTACAGTGGCCTCGTTGGCCCCCTGAAAGTTTGTCGTAAAGGGACCCTGGATTCTAACGGGAGAAGGAAAGGCGTGAGCAAGGAATTTGCCCTCCTCTTTTTGGTTTTTGATGAAAATCAGTCTTGGTACCTTGAGGAGAATGTGAAGATTTATATCCAAGGGGAATGGAACCGTTCCCACCAGCAGGACGAAGAATTTATGGAAAGCAACAAAATGCATGGTTTGTAGATCTCTTATGCTTTTTGTGTTAGCACCAATGATGTCTTTGCACATTGCAAAAAGAAAATTGCCTCTCTTTCTGAAAAACAAGACCCTTCTAAAAACAATTTGATTGTTCCACATGCCCATTGCGCTTGAGAGTGGTGGCAGATTTCTGGAATACCAATATGCATACAGTACAACTTTAATTTCCTTAGGAAGAGCTCATTAGATAGAGGTTTTGTCATAAAAAAATCATTTTTAATAGAAGAAGATATCTGTAATTCAGGGTTGGACTGTGGAGTCCTTGTTGCTCTCTGAGCTTAGTACTGTGATGAGGAAACCTATGGCACGCGGAGCCATATCTCCTGGTATGCACGGCGTCGCCCGTTCCTCTTCCGGGTTTCTGGTGCGCATGCACACACGACGATCAGCTGGCCTTTGTGCGTGCAGCACTGCCAGAAACCGGAAGTACCTTATCCAGCGCACCCATGCCCCTTGGGCAGCTTCTCTTCCTGGTCGTGGCCCTGACAAGCGCAAAGTGCTCTCTTTTCAGCATTTGGTGCTGAAAAGGTTCGCCATCACTGCCCTAGTAGGTAACCTCATCAGTAGAAGTGAGTGTGGGGTTTGTTCTCTGGAGGTGTGTGGTTTTTCCGCTTATTTATTATTTATTTATTAATTCAATTTGTATGCCACCCCTCTCCGAAGACTCAGGGCGGCTCACAATGCATTTAAAATCATTATAAAAAACATTTAAAAATTAAAAACATTAAAAACATTAAAACTCATTCACAACATTCATGGCCGGATCTCGCCGGATTGCAAGAGCGAGATCAATGCCCCAGTTCTGCCGGAAAAGCTGGTCTTCACCGCTTTTTGGAAGGCCAATAGAGTGGGGATGGTCCGGACCTCAGGAGGTAACTGGTTCCAGAGAGTCAGGGCAGCCACAGAGAAGGCCCTCCCCTGCGGGCCTGCCAGCCGGCATTGTTTAGCTGACGGGATCCGGAGGAGACCAACTCTGTGGGATCTTACCGGACGTTGGGAGTTATGTGGTAGAAGGCGGTCTCGAAGATAGCCTGGCCCTGAGCCATGTAGGGCTTTAAAGGTAATAACCAACACCTTGAATTGTGACCGGAGACCAATAGGGAGCCAATGCAGCTCGCGGAGAATTGGTGTGATGTGGGTGTACCTAGGTGCACCCATGACAGCTCGCGTGGCTGCGTTCTGGACCAACTGTAGTCTCTGAACACTTTTCAAGGGTAGCCCCATGTAGAGCGCGTTGCAATAATCTAACCATGAGGTGACAAGGGCATGAGTGACCATGAGGAGAGCCTCCTGATCCAAGTAGGGAACTTGATAGTTTCCTGATTACAGTATTGTTTCCTGAGGAGACAATGCAAAGGCTCACTTTGGAAGGGTGAGTGGTTCTTCATGAGACAAAAGTCCTGCCATTATTAAGCAGAGATCTCTTCTTTCCTTAGCAATCAATGGTAAAGTATATGCAAACTTACCAGGGCTGGAGATGTGTGAAGGAGACTGGGTGAACTGGTATCTGCTGGGAATGGGCCAGGAGATTGACGTGCACACCGTTCACTTCCATGCAGAGACATTCATCTACCGGGTGAGACTCCCCAAACTGATGCAGAGGCTCCCCCCACCCTTAAAGAACAAATCTAGGGAAAGAGTCTGGAGGCTCCTGTCTTGCAGTTAGTTTGCGTGTCCCAAGTTGGCAGGTTGGCTTCTTTCCTCTCCCCAGGCCTCTCCAAGCCAATTAAGTTGAGAAAACTTATAAAACGCCTAACTCTCTGGCCATGGAATTGGTAGTGGCTAAACATTACCTCTGGCTATCACCCATTCTAGATTTTCACTTATTGTCCTTCCATTTTGTGTGTCAGAATGGCAAGAGTTACCGGGCTGATGTGGTGGATCTCTTCCCTGGGACCTTTGAGATGGTGGAGATGCAGGTTGGCAATCCTGGCACCTGGCTTCTTCACTGCCACGTGGCTGACCATATCCATGCTGGCATGGAGACGCTTTTCACAATCCTACCCCGCCAAGGTAAGAAGAAAGCTTGTGGTGCAAGTGGGGCTCAATCTGTTTGGGGAGCGGTGCCCATCAAAACCATTCAGTGGCTCCAAGGCACATCCAACCCCCTTGGAAACCAAGGATGAAATTCCAGAACTTAGAAAGCTTCAGGATAAGCGATGGATCAGTAGGGAACAGCAGCTGGAAAGAGCAGAAAAGCTAATGCTGTAGCAGATGTGCTCGCTTAGCGGTGAACTGTGAACAGAGAAGAATGAGATAATTGGGAATCAGAGTCTGGACCTCTCTTATCTAAGTCCAGTCCAGATCCATTCCAGTATTCGATTCAGTCAGAAGCCATTCAAAACTTCAAACTTGGTCGCTAATCCAGTAGCACAAAGGAGTTCTGGGGATGGACACTAATGTCTGTTTGCCTGAAACAGTGATGAACATCACGATGCTAAGGAAAAAGAAGACCTGGATTGACTTCTTTTTGTAAAAGCTGGATTCCATGCATGGATCTCTTGTGCTGCTTTGGGTGTCCTCAGTCTCCCTTTGGGCCTCACAAAACAGTCCTGATTCTGCAATTTATTTCTTTTCAGATGCAGAACATTGCAGATACCATGTATTCAAAATTACAGGTACTGTGTTATCATGTTTATTTTCAGATACCTTTAATAAAAAGAAGGACTAGGGGTAACATGATAGCAGTGTTCCAATATCTCAGGGGCTGCCACAAAGAAGAGGGAGTCAAGCTATTCTCCAAAGCATCTGAAGGCAGGACAAGAAGCAATGGATGGAAACTAATCAAGGAGAGAAGCAACTTAGAACTAAGGAGAAATTTCCTGACAGTTAGAACAATTAATCAGTGAAACTACTTGCCTCCAGAAATTGTGAATGCTCCAACACTGGAAATTTTTAAGAAGATACTGGATAAACATTTATCTGAAGTGGTGTAGGGTTTCCTGCCTAAGCAGGAGGTTGGACTAGAAGACCTTCCAACTCTGTTATTCTGTTTATCTCTTTCAGATATCATGATTGATAGAGATATTCCAAGTTTGAAATCTTTTCTCTCTTCCATTGTTCTTGTCCTATGGTCCCAAATAGTCACCCTCTGGAATCATCCTGAAATATTGCTAATCTCTTACAAATCAGGATTCCAACTTTGCACACCCTCCAGCAATTTTCCTCTATCTTCTGGCAATTCTCTTCTGAATATTAACTGGTGAATCCTTATTTATCATTGCTTATGCTAGCAAGTTTGCATCTTACCCATTTCAGGCTGTGGTTTAGATGAAACTGCTGGGACGTAGCTATGGCGCTTTGGCTGAAGTGCCGTTAAACATCATTCTCAACCATGCTGGACTTGAATCCTATACAAACAAGCTGGTTCAGGCCTTAGCTTTGGCTTGCCAATTTCAGGAAAACCAGGGACTAGTGTAATGTATGAATCCAGGCTTAAGCTCAAGAATGACACAACTGGAAGAGATTCTGTTCAGTCAGCTTGGTTCAATCCCAAATTCTAAACGATTCCACAGGATTTCCAGTTTAGCCATGTTCCTCATTTAGTTTTCCAACCATAGGGAGTTTTTGATTTACTTGAGTCAGCTATTACCCAATTATCGCTGTTGTTCTTCAGTTTTCAATGGCTTAAGTTATTGAATTCCTCTTGGTCCACAGTTTGACTTTTCCATAATTTGTTTGACTTCTAGCAGAAACATCTGAGGAGGTAACTGGGGGTCCTTCTGAAGAAGACCATGTGGAAGCTTCTGAAGAAAAAATTTCCCATGACATCATTTTGTTTGGCTCAAGGCTAGACCACGGGCATGTAGAAGCAGCAATTATTACTCTTGCTGTCGCTGGGGTGGTGCTCTTCATCACTGCAAGTGTTCTTCTTGGTGTGATCGTTCATCTCAAGAGACAAAAGAAGTTGAGACGCAACAAGCGGTCTATATTGGACGAAAGCTTCAAACTGATGCGTAGTCAAAAGAATGATCTTTAGAAAAGAATGGAAGAGGTCTTGGGAGTTTTTAAGCCAGGCAGTAGTGAAAATGGCCCAAAATAGGATTCAGCAATCATTTTCTGAAAATTCAATAAGAAATTTTACTAGTAAGTCCTTCTGCCTATTATATCCACTCTACATTTTAAGGTTTCAGGTATCCCAAGTCTCAAATGAATTCCCAGATCCTTGTACCCTTATTCACTGAAGGACAGGACAGAACCTCAGTTAAATCTCCCCAGAGTTATGGGCAGTCAATAAATTTGATAAATAAATAAGTAAATAAACCCAGACTGGATACTCAGTCAAAAATCCTCTGGTCAACAGTTACCAGCATCTTGCATCAGTACAATCTGAGACCTAGATCTCCTGCATTCCTTCATTCTTGAGGCAAGTCACCATTCCGTGAGATTAGCCAATGACAGTTTCTGCCTGTTGAACGTAACACCTGGTTGGGGAGAAGTAACAGGCACAGAGAAGGTTTTTCAAGAGGGCAGGGCAGCAAGCATTCCTTTGAAACAGGTTTCAACCATGAATGGTGGAATTTCCTTGCTTTGAACTCCTTTCATTCCTCAGCAGTGCTTCTTTCAAACAAACTCCTATTTAACTCAACCAAAATAGGACTTTCCACCTAAAAGGCCAGTGATGATAAAACTGATCTGGCTTATAACTGACAGAAGTGGAAGAATTGGGGTTTGGGGATCATGTTTGCTTCCTAAACTAGGAACTCTCCACCTGAGTTGGGATTGCAACTCCTAGGATTACTGGCATTGCGGAAAGTGGGAAAAACAATTGTAGACATGGGGAGGGTGACAATGAGAATAAACGAAGAATTTTAATTAGACAGTTTATTAATGTCGAGATGGCACCATTATGGACTGGTTCACATCTTCATTATACAGTTGTTGGATGAGAACCTGATTTCCATCTGGATTTCAAGAACTAAAGGACACCATCCCAACTAAAGGAGTCCTGGACCTTAGCCCAATGCTCAGGTTGAACCAAAGATCCGAAGATGGTTAAGGCTTCTGATCCATTCATTTTGGAAAAAGAACTTGGCAAAGGCCTTCACAATTGTAACAGAACCAAATCTTTTAAAGATCAGAATGAAAGGAAAATGAAAACAGCATGCAGACTCTGCAGGGTCTGAGAATGATATTCTTAGGCATTCATCCCTGTTTCTGGTGCTGAGTTCAGGTTGCCAACTTATTTTGGGGAAAGATCCAAGATCTTTATTGAAGTCTTATCTGTGTAGATGGGTAGAAATTCATTCATTCTTGTTTTTTTTTTTAATAAGAAAATGCTAATATTTGTTGCTTTGCCAATAAAAGTGATTGAAACAAATTAAGTTTAAAACAACTTTGGGAGGGGGGGGGACAAGAAAATAATCCCTACAAAGAAATTCTGAACTCTGATCCCCCCAAATAGTAAACCCAGAGACTTTATGTATACATCTCATGCACTGTTTCCCAACTCTGGGCACTTAAAAATGTTTGGACTTCAACTCCCAGCCAAGGAGCTGGAAGTCCACACATCCTCAAGTGCCTAAGGTTGGAAAACACTAACCTTGCGCCTCATCCTCAGTATCTTCAGACCCCTTTGAACCTGCGTGCACAGAGTAGTCCATGTGCAAGCGAAAAACGACTTGGGTAGTCAAATGGATGGCATGCTTCAGATGACTATACAACTTCTTTTGCAGTCATCTGAAATCATATGAAAAAGTTCTGAATGCAACAATTGGTCAGTGGCAGGGATGGGTTCTACTTACCTTTACCACCGGTGGGGACATGCGAGCGAGCAAAGCGGGGACGCGCGCTTCTGCGCATGCGCAGAAGCGTTTTGGTGATGTCAGGTCAGTGGGCGGAGCCTCCCGCCGGTTTTACTACCGGTTCTATAGAACCGGTGCGAACCGAGGGCAACCCACTACTGGTCAGTGGGCATAGAAAGACTCAGTTGACTGTGCCTTTTGTATTCCTGCCTTCACACGTGCTCCAGAGAATTTACTTGAGTCAAATTCTCCTAAGTTGTCTCAACGACTCCTTCTCTGGAAGCATCAGTTGACTAATGAGTGGGTGCATTGTAAAGCTTGGTATTTGGAGAGATGTATGAGTTTTATCAGTGCTGCTTTGATACATGATTTGGTACTCATTCATGCCAGTAATTACTTGCTGATTTATAATTATATGAATTGGGCCAGAACTTATCTATCTTAAATAAATTAATAACAAGAATGAGAATGTATTAGTATTGCCAAAACTATCACCAACTAGAAACAAAATATGGAGCAGCAGTTTCCAAATCTTTTCAGAGTTGATTTCAGGCTGGCCTTTTTACTTTCTTCAGACTGAGAAAGAGGGTGAAGATTGCTCCTCCTTAATAGTTCCCAGAGATGCAGATAGTGAGGTCCTCAGTCTGGGAAGAGTTTGTCTATAGGGTTAAAAGAAGAGAACTCAGCTTGGAAGAATCACCAGGTGTCATTCTTGGATCTGGAACTGACATGGACCTATCCGAAGGGATAAAAAGGGATCCCTGGCAAGTGTTTTCCCTTGTTTGAAGAAGAGGTGGCTTCGTTGGGTAGAATTTTAAGAGACACATAAAGGACAGCCTCATATGAAAAGAAAAATGGTTTGGAAAGTATTACCTGGGTGAATGTGCACGTGCGAATGTACCCTGACCTGGATTTGTGCAAGTGCAAAAGGAGCCTGACCTGGGTGTGTACACTCGTACGAATGGAGCCTGACCTGGGAGTGCGCACGTGCAAATGGAGCATGCTCTGGGTATGCACACGTGTGAATGGAGCCTGACCTGGATGTGTGCAAGTGTAAAAGGAGTCTGACCTGGGTTTGTACAAATGTGTGAATGAAGCCTGACCTGGCTGTCTACAAGAGCAAACGGAGCCTGATCTGGGTTTGTGTGTGCATGTGCGAATGGAGTCTGACCTGGATGTGTGCACATGCGAATGACATGGATGTGCACACATGCGAATGGAGCCAGACCTGGCTGTGCGCATGTGCGAATGGAATTTGACATGGATGTGCGTACATGCAAATGGAGCCTGACCTGAGTTTGTACGCATGTGTGATGAAATCTGAGCAGGGTGTTTGCAAGTGCGAATGGAGCCCGACCTGGGTGTGTGTGTGCATGTGCAAAAGGAGCCTGACCTGGTTGTGTGCAAGTCTACACCAGGATCACTTTTGACCTCCATGGGAGCCAGAAGTGCTGTAGATGACCAATTGCCAAGAAAATGTAGTTTCACTGACAATTCAAAGTCTTAAGGAAAAGGGCCCTCTAGGCATAAAGAGGCATTCTTTATCCTTCATTTTAGGCATTCTTTGTTTGTTTTGTTCTTCCAGATGATTTACGTTGTGTGTCTTATAAGACAAAGCAGATAACATGATGCCATGCCAAGCCATACCATACCACATCACAGCATAGTATCTTGAAAGAGAAAGTTGTGGAATGAATTGTAGTATCTCAAATGCACCATTGTCATAGCTTGATAGAAATGTGCCATTTCAATTTTTTGGTTTACTCATTTGGTTCACAAGAAAAAAAAAGCATGAAACTCAGGGACTTGGCTTGGGGTAGAGGCAGAATTGCCTTCCTTCAGCAAAAGCAGCAACAGAGAACAGTTTTTGTCAGGTAAAATATCGAAGGCAGTTTTGGTTCAGATTCTGCAGCCTTCTAGGCCACTCAATCGGGTTTATAGGGAGTGCAGCAGAAATGCATGTTATAAGAGGACTGGACGGAAGCAGCTCTGGAAAGCCACTGTCCTGAAGAAAAAAAATGCCGGGGTAACGATTAGAATCAACATTTGCTTCTTCTTTTGCCACCATGTGTTTAAGAATGAAAGATTTTTTTGTTTTCAGCATTTAGGCTCTTCTAGCATCCATTCTGAGATGGGAGGTTGGCTTTTGCAGGAAAGTGACAAGTCAGATCCACGTACAAGGATGTCAGCAAATGCGCTCCCCAAGAAGAAATAAAGAAGGTTCAGTTTCTATAGCCGTTTTAGAAACCCTGGAACATAAAAGAGAAAACCATTCTGCCATCTCTTCCAAGAACAGCTAACTCATTCCACGAGAGCCATGGATAGGTTTGAAAGGAGAAGTAATAGGAAGTCATGGGGTTTAGGTATTTTCTAAAAGGCAGAGAGATTATCGGGTACCCTCCACCAGATAAAGACGTTTTAGCCAGTTGGCAAGCATCCAAATTTTTATTACGTGACCCACAAGGATGCTGCAAGTGTTGTGAAAATTGGTCCTAAGTCCCTTTTTTCAGTGCGGTTGTAACTTTGAATGGTCATTAAGTTGGAGTACCTGTATTGAGAAAGAGTAGCAGTTCAGCTTCCCCTGGGGGGTGGGGGAGGTTGTCACGTTAGGAAGAATGCTGAAATTGAGATTTTTTTTTCTTCTGCTAATAAATCGCTTTTGAAAATACATAAACCTGCATGTTTTTGTTGGGTCTCCTGGGAGCCACTTTCTCCTCCCCCCTTATCAGGAAGGACTCAGCTAAGAGGTCCAGCGGCAGCAAGTAGCCAAGGGGGAGAGAAAGAGGGAAGGAGAGCTTTGTGTAGTGAGGCAGTGTTCCAAGGGCTGAAAAAAAAAGAGATAAACATGCTTTTTGGTACAATTATGTTTTATTGCTTAGGAAAAAAACAAAACATAGCGGGCAACGTACTGACAATAGAGAAGCGAAGCCCCACAGTGCAGAGCGGCAGCAAAAGCACCGCCACTCTATGCTCCTCTGAAAGGGAAGAGCGGCTTCCGTTGGCCGCCTTCGAACAGCCGCTGGCTTCTTCCTCTCCAGCAGGGGTGGGCAGCAGGGGACACCGAAGCTGTCTCAGGAATTCTGGGAGTTGAAGGCCACAGGTTGTAAAAGGGCCACAATTGCCCACCCCTGCTCTCCAGTCATCTCCGAGAAACCTTCCCGGCATGACGGACTTCCTCTCCTTCACCGCAACCCTCCCCCCACCTACCCCCATTGCCTTCGGAAAGAACCTTCCTGTGGTGGCCGACTTCCGGTCTATTCTTCTTACTTTTCCCCTACTTCCTATTACCACGATAAAGTCCATCCATCTGAATCATCCCTCCAACTTCCTTGCGCAGCGACCTTAGCACGGCTAACTTCCTGTCCGTTCACCGTGACCGTCCCCCAGTGCCTTCGAAAAGGAGCTTTCCATCATGGCTGACTTCCTGTCCATTCTTCTTAGTTTTCCCCTACTTCCTCCTACCACGATAAAGTAAGATCTTGATAGCTTCAATGGTATTGCTAAGTGACAGAAAACAGTGCCCTCCTGTGGTCCGAGCAGGTAGAGCAGCCACAAAATGAAAAAAAAAACACAACCCTTTTTAATGGCATTTAAAGATTATTATTCCATATCTTTATTATTAAAAGCCTTATTAATATTAATAGTGCAACGGAAGGCCCGGGAGCCACACAACAGGTACAGAAGAAAGAATATTACTGTTTCAAAAGCCTTACACCGAGGTAAAAAGGTCTATGACGGTCTCAATGCTAAAGCTAAAGGATAGATAGAAAACAGTGTCATCCTGTGGTCAAAACAGGTATAAAAGAAATAAACTTTTTAAAAGGCATTTTAAGGTTATTGTTCTTTATTATTAAACCCTCATTATTAATATTAATAGACCTTATTAACTCGGTTTAAGGCTTTTGAAGCAGGATTTCTTTTCCCGTTCCTGTGTTGCAGCAAACGGGCCTCCCGTTGCCATCTTAATATTAATGAGGCATTAATAATTAAGATGCAGGATAATAACTTTAAAATCCCATTAGAAAGGTATATTTCTTTGTAATACTGGCCTTGGCCACAGGATGGCACAGTTTTCCGTCCTATAGCATTAACATGGAGGTAATCGTATGCCTTTTTGATGGCCTCAATGCTATCAAAGAAATACCGTATTTTTTGGTGTATAAGACACACCTTTTTACCCCCCAAAAGGGGGTGAAAATCTGGGTGCGTCTTATACGCCGAATGTAGCCCCGCCCACCCACTGGCCCCCACCCTTCGGCCATTTTCGGTGTAAGGATCGCCTCTCCTTCCAACTTAAGAAAGTACGAACTCTTGAAATGTAGTTGTTCAACCATGACCTGGATGACTGAGAATCTCCACAGATATTCTAACTGTAGCTTCCTGAACAAAAAAAAAATCATTCTCTGAACTTCTGTAGAGATTCTCAGTTATCCAGGTCATGGTTGTCCCAAAGATGCTTTTCTCAGGAGGCAACTGAACTTTCTTATTTTTTCTTTGAAGATGTTTTGCTTCTCAGCCAAGAAGCTTTTTCAGCTCTCACAGGATTGCTTCCCCACTTCTCTTAGATGAGAAATGAAATGTCTTCAAAAAAAAGACAAGAAAGTCCAGTTGCTTCCTGAAAAAAACACCTTTGGGACATTCTCTGAACTCACTTATTCCAATCCCAGGAAACATTGGAAGATTGGAAAAAGTATTGGGAAATCCACGACATACAACCATTGTAGAGCCTGCCATTACACTTATATGTCATGATGGACACATGACAATCTGATTTTACCCTTTTCCTGCAAATTCTATGGTTGTTAAGTGCCTATTGTTTGCCGCAGATGTAGTTTTGCCCAAAATTGGAAGTGCTGGTTTTTAGCAAAACCACTATAAAAAATATGGGACATTGCAAATGACTGTATAGGCCATGGGTGTCAAACTAGATCGAGTCACGTGACATATTGCGATGTCTCACAACCTTTTTTTCCCTTTACGGAGCATGACCTGCACGTGACACATCCAACCTGTGGGCCGCCAGTTTGATACCCCTGGTATAGGCAGCTGTGTTGCGGAGCACTCAAAGTGTGGTCATGTGACTGTGTCTGTGTGACAGTAAGATCTTTGAATCCAGATCGTAAGTCCTCTTTTTCAGGTAGGTTGGAACTTTGAATGGTTGCTAAGCAACCGGCTGCAAGTAGTGAATCAGGAGACTTTACTTTGTCTTTGCATCAGAAAGTCCCAACTATAACATTTTAATCAAAGCAAAACACCTTGAATTCATACTTCATTTTTTCCACTTATACTTTAATCATTTGAAGAATTTTCAATGGAAACAAAAATTGCTAGTCTGATTAGGAATCTACAGAGCTTACCTCAAGTTGTTGATTTTTAAAACATCTCTGACTTTTCCTAGGGGAAAGAAATTGAAAAAAAAAATCCTTTAGAAAAACATTAAGTGCAGAAGAAGAAACAACAGATCTGAAT